CCCCCCCCCCAATGAGCAAGAAAGAAACACATTTACTGAATCTTTTTAAAATGGGCAGCTACAATACCTTTTGCTTCTTGTCTTTATATTGTTTGATCAAGGTAATCAAATGCTCCACCAAAAACATGAAATAGAGACCCCCAAGTGCAGTCAGACCCTTCAATGTAGCATCCAAATGAGCACTTTCTTCAGCCTTCTCATCCGCGTGATTTTCATCTACATTTCCACCATGGCTATGGTAATGTTTTGCATGAGACTTGAAAGAAAGAAAAAAAAAGGAAAAAATAAAACATTTATATACATGCCTTTTATACACATTTTTATTTTCCTAAAGTGATCACAGATAAATGTAACCATGTTTACTCAGAAAAACAAGAAATCCAGGAAATCTGTCATAGGTAAAAACAATCTTGGCTGATATTGACAAGCGATGCTGATAATCTTATCTCTGTACACAGTAAAACATGACAGATCGATGTCCTCATTCAACCCTCTAGTGCCAACAAGCCTCTAACTACACAGAATATGACTAGAAAAGTACATTATCTGTAAAAGGTTTTGAAAATCACTTAGCTCACTAGAAAAAAAATGTTTAAATTACTTTTATGTTCAACTAGACTTTGCCGGAAAAAAACAAAAGTACATCAAGTAATGCCATGATAATGGAACAAATATTTTGAAATAGTAGTTCAAAATGTAAAAAAGTCCATTATGATAATATGAATAAAATAATTTGCAGACATTAAAACTTTAAGGATGAAATAATGACTGCTTCATTATTTCGAAAGTCAAACTCTACAGAAACAGCACATACACAGTTGAAATATGTATACAGTATTTTTATATTTTAACATAGCAAGGCAGACACCAGTACTTCCTACTTCAGCTTTGCAGCTTCATGTGCCACCTGTGTGCTCAATGGACAATATATGAGCATCATCACATTGCAAGTAAACACCATTGGAGACAAGACATACAGCTGCATACCAAAAGGCATACAGCAAAAGAAGATGCAAAAGGGGTGAAATCTGGCCATACAAGCCAAAAATTGAAGAGGATAAGGAGAAACAAAAATAAAAAGAATAAAATCGGGTGTTATAAGAGAATATTTGCCTTGTAAATAGTAATAGATGAGATTACTTACCCATGTTGCTTTGAAAGCTTTTTAGAACACTTTCAGCATTTCAGGATACAACTAATTTTATGTTACTTAAGGCACTTAAAAAAAACTCTTAAGAAAAAAATGTAAGCAGTAAAGGGTTATCAAAATGAAAGCACAAATAACATGAGCCCTACCTGGCACTGGAAATAGTGCCCAATTTTACCTTCTCTCTCCCACCCTGCAAACCTCAATGCTAGCACAGATACAACCGTGATAGAAATATAACAAAACTCTAATGCAGCTGTTACTTACATGCACAGGGGCTTCATTTACAAAGCTACAAGGATGAGGATCTTTATGTTAAGCTGACCATACAATAAGCAAAATTCTTGATGAACCAGTCGAAATTTGCTCAGTGTGTGGTCCTCTGTCAGCAGCCCCCAGCCTTTGTCATGTGACTGTAATTTGCAGCGCTCATTGGAGATGAAAATGACAGATTTATTTTCAAAGTAAATAATGATCCATAACCTGGTGTGTTAGCCTTCTGAGCTAAGCTTCAGGTATCAAACATTTTACATATTTTTTCCAAAGTGCTGCCCAGGTTACTGTCTTCTTAACACTATGGGTAGCAGTCTGTTCCCTGTTCTGGTTAAGGCCTTGCGGATTTGATGTGCCAAGAATAAAATTAATGTGATCACTTTTTCACTGTCACGTGATGCAGCCGTTCCAAATGTATATGAAAATAAGTCACACCACTGACCATTTTTAGCACACATCATCTTCAAGGATACATATACTGAGAGCAATATGTAGGCTGCCTTTGCTAACCTCTTTCTGAAGATGCTATTTGCCTGGTTGTCCATCATGGATCAGAGAAAATAGAATGAATTTAGAACATGTGATCTGCATAATTGTTCTGGGTCTGTGACTGCACTACTCAGGGTGCCTGTGTATGTGGCTTAATAAGTCTCAATAAGGTTTCATCTAGTGCCCCTAATCTGCATCGGGATAAACCAGGGGTAGTACCAGTGACGTGCTCACTCAGAGGTCACAGGCCTGATTCTCCATTTAGAAATAGGATATTGCATTCCCAATATCCAATACGGTGTACCCAGTATGGTACTGCAGCAGTATGTTTGTACAGCTCTCCTAATAGTTGCTAGCAACTAAAAACCATACTAGAATGAAAACAAGGGTAGGTCTAAGGTGGAAGCAAGCTGATTCACTCGTTCCTAAGCTATAATTTTTAAACATGCATATTATAACAGTCCTAGGTCCAGCGTACCCTATGCAAGCAGATGTTTTATTCAACTGAAGAAAAATCTTTGCACGTGTCTTTGTACCAATCACTGAGCACAAATAACTAATCCAAGCTATTATCTTTATTCAGATGACTTTTGCAAGCATGCAGTGATGAGCATTGCTCCTCCCAGTTAGGTAATAAAGACATGACTAAAAGATGCAGAAGTCAGGTTAACATTTTTTTGCTTGCTTCTATAAATTTGGGAAATGAAACGCAAACCATTTTAGAATACAAAACAAATTTTACACTTTTACAAACATTTTTCTACAACAAAATTTGCCCTCGGGACCTTTGACTGATAATGCATTCCACCTAATTTCATAGAATCACATTTGAAACACTTAACGTGTTGTTCATATGTCACTGCTCTTCCATGGAATCCTGTAAAACCTGTTTGAGAACTTTAGGCATACGATAACACTATTCTAGTGCAAGTTAAATCAAACGCAATACCTGTCCATGTGCTCTGAGCAAAACCTCTGAATTTTATTTCTATTCGATTTTATTTGTAAAGTCTAAAATATATATTTTCCCGGATCCATAGCTTGGATTGTTCGGGCTGCTGGGGTCCGAGGAGATTTACTAAATGAGTAGAGGCTGTTCAATTAGAAAAGTGAATGTTCACCGACTTTAGTAAATAAAGCGAGGTTGTACAGGTTTACATCATTAACTAAAATCATATACAGTACTTGCGAATATGCTATTTCTTCTCCATTTCTCCGGCACATGATTGGGTATTTATTGTAAAAATAGGTCCACCTATTTAAATACCCAATCATGTGCCAGGGAAATGGGGAAGAAATAGCATATTTGCAAATACTGTATATGATTTTACTAACAAATATTTACTTTCCTTGATAGCCAACTACTCCTAAGGGCCCATTCACACCTCATACGTAGGCTGCGTTGGACAACTCATAACAAGCCAAAATCCATTGTTTCCCATAGGCTCAGTTCACACCAAGGCATTACGTCAGTGTATGCTTTCTGAATTTAGACGCAGTAAAACACATCACAAGGTGCTGCAGTACTTTTTAAGGAAAGAAATATCATGTATTTTGACTCCTGCTTTGAACAAAGAACCTGCATATTCATGCAATGCATAAAAAAATGGGTGTCAATGTACATCAACTCAAGTGCATTTAAAAGGCATAAATGCAAGTAAATCAACCCCCCATGTGGGTCAATCACCAGTAAAAGGGGATAACTGAAAGCGGCTTCTAAATGGCACAGTACCCCACCCCCCACCTATTGCAACTTATCCTTCTCTAGAAAACTCACATTTCCATAGCAGCACATCCTTTCCTGATGACGCATGTTCCCATAGAAGTGCAGGCAAACTCAGGACCCCATTGCAGCACATCCCTCCCTGGCACCCCCTCTATCACAGATTATCCTTATCCAGCCAATTCATGGCCTTTTATTGCAGTGCATTCCTCCACACCCAAATTAACCCCCCACTGCAGTGAATCTTTTTCTGGCCACCTCCCCCTCATCACAGCGCATCTCTTCTGCAGAAACGCATTCCCGGACCATTGCAGTGCATCCCATCCTGAATTACACATATCCCCAATGCAGCACATCCCTCCTGCAACTCATTGCCCCCACTCTTTAAAGTTTTTTAATTTTATTTTTCTTTATTACGGTGTACACAATAAAAAAAAAGCCAAAAAGGCATTATACACAGATGGTTCCACTTTGGAAAGGGCATACTTTTGCTATTGTTTTTTGTTTTGTTTTATAAAGCGCAATAAATAAATTGTACGCACACACACAGTTTAGAAAGCAAATGACTGAAAGAAGACCTTGCCCAGTATATGTTACAAGATACCAAATAGGTTAGCTATGTAGAAACAAGCATAAACCAACACTAAACTCTAAACACATGACCAAGCAACTGAATTGCACAACCGTGCAGGAAGCACACAAGAGAATTACTGTACCATGGGACCGTAACATTGTAAACATGTGACATTGTTCAACAACGAGACGTGACCTCACAGGTTTCTCTAACCTATTCAGACACGGAATATTAAAAAGAACTGTACCAGATGAGAATTACTTCTCATCTGCAGTATTTCTGTTACATCTGTCTAGAACAGGGGTGCACATTAGGTAGATCGTGATCTACCAGTAGCTC